GATCAAAAGGCAGCGAATTGTAGACTGCCCAGGTCACCCAAAAGATAATGAGAGACTCAATCAGCCCGAGGAATGTCCAGCCAATATAAAGCTTGATGTTGAAAGCTCTGTTCTTGTGGCCAAAGGTGTAGAGCTCGGGGAATTCAAGGAGCGTCTTGGCTTGCAGATCCTTTTCCAAACCGCCTAACAAGATAACAGCGAGCGACGTGAAGAAAGTGTTGAATACCGTCAAACTCCAATTTTCATATAGAGACGTCCCGGTGTATCCCGTGTAACGCTGGAAGTAAGCCTGTGGTAGGAAGAAGACAATTTCCTTCCAAAAAGTGGCGAGAATATATCTGCCAGTCCTAAGGTAGTTCCAGCGGCCGTGGACGAAGAGAAGACGCTGCAAGAAGCGGAATTGCGCAATGGCGTAGTCGGAAATGCGAGCGGCTTGGAGACCTTCGCGGCCCGAGATACCGATGCCAACATGCGAGGCTTGGATCATGCCGATGTCGTTGGCGCCGTCGCCAATGGCTAGAGTCAGGGAGTGAGGTACCTGCCGGCGAATACGCTTGACAAGAGTGGCCTTCTGTGAGGGAGAGGCGCGACAACAAATGACCGAGTCAACCCTCACTACAAGGTCGAAGAAGAGGAAGCTGAGGTCCTCGTCTCTTTCAATGATACCCAAGGTCTGACCGTCGACCACTACTACCGCGTGAGGCGCCATACCTCGGGCGACTTCACCCAGGGTCGAGAGGATTGACTCCTGCAGGTTGCCCATTGTAGCATCCAGGATGAAGACCTCGGAGAATGGCTTGCACAGGCCGGCAGAGTGACCAATATTGATGGCAGTCTCGCGCTTATCTCCCGTCAGCATCCAAACCTTGATCTCGGCGCGACGGAGCTTCTCAATCGTTTCTGGTACGCCCTCTTGCAATCGATCCTCGATGGCGGTAGCACCGGCAAGTTCGAACTTATCCTCAATGAGCTCACCGGCCGCCTCGATCTTTTCTTGTCGATTATCCAAACTAGTGGTGGCATCATGATAGATCCTTTTCCACGTGTTGTAATCATCCTCGCTGATGTATCGGTAGCCGTACAGTAAAGTCCGCAGGCCCTCCGAAGCAAACTCGTTGATGTGCGTGAAGCATCGTTCGAGAACGGTGCCCTCGTTGAGAGCCACGGACTCGTCAATGAAGTCATCCACTTCATCCTCGTTTGCTGACATGGCCATGCTGTGACGTGGCGATGACCAAATATCGTGAGCGCTCATGGGCGAGAGGATGTCTGCTGAACCTCTGCGTGAGGTCCATGCGTCAGCGTCGTCGGTAACGGCGCTGGATCGTCTGAGCATGTCGCCGGAGATTCTCTGGTTCATCATGCTACGTCGATCTGACATTGACGTTCTCCCAATTGCAAAGCTGCTGCGGGGCGTTCCACTCGTGCTGAGGCGTTGCTGTGCCTTTTCCCTCTCGACACTCCTACGAATCGAGGCTCTCCGATTGACGTCGCTTGCCTTTTGTGTGGCAAGGCCGCTAAGCTTGAGACGAGGCAAGATGACGTTGTCGGCGCCTTTGCAGTAAACACATACTCTGCCGTCGGGCATACGCATGATGATGGACATCCTCTTCCTCTGACTGCTGAACTCAATGACGTCTAGCACCTGGTAGGTCTCTCTTTTGATCGTTCCATCAGCTTCGGGAATTTGGAGAATGACTGATTGTGCAGGCCGGTCAATGAGGAGGTAGCCAAGATCTCTCGCAGCTTCAACCAAAGCAAGTTCATCGGGAGAGGCAGCTTGGTATTCGATCTCGCCGTCTTCCTTTGTCTCGGGTAAACATGTGTGGCAGAGAGCGATGCAGAGTAGGAATTGCTTGGCTTTCTTGGAAAAGACAGTGTCCGGTTTACGTCGCAGGTAGTCCAGGAGGTCTTCCGTCTTGAGCTCGGGCTCGGCTTGAGGCGCCCGACTTGTAGAGCGTCCCCGTCCATAAGTGCTGATGGACGGCCTTCCTTGTACTGGTGTCGATGACGAATAGTTGTCGTGATCGCTCGTTGTCTTTTCGCGGTTCTTGTCCTTGCCTTTTCCCTTGCGCTTCTTGCGAGCCATGTCAATCAACTTTTGCTTGGCGTGTTCGTCTCGTTCAATGTCCATATCGTGCAGCCATGCGGTGCCGGCGACGCTCATCTTTCTGAAGCGCATCACGTTTTCCGTCAAGGTGCCTGTCTTGTCTGAGAAGACGTAGTTGACTTGGCCCAAGTCTTCGAGGATCGTCGTGGTGTTGGCAACCATTGGCGTATTAGTGACCGGGTCGTACATCTCGACGTCTCCCATCATGTAAAACTGTATGATCTTGATGATTTCCAAACTGATGTACAACGAAAGAGGGATGAGCGTGTTGAACATGAGTATGAAAGCAATAAAGATCTTTCTCATCTTAATGCGCTCGCCCATAAAGTACCAAGAAGACTCGGCAGGGTCTCGCCACAGATAGTGGCCCAAGGTTAAACCGCTGCTGAGGCCGAGTAGCACTACTATGAGCCAAACGACGATTCTGTTAAGGACGCGCTGCATGGCGGGTGCTTTTGTGCGTACGTGCTTGTGAGCGTTCATTCGGATCTTGCATTCTTCACCCGTGTTCACGACGATGCCGATAGCTTCTGTAGTGTTTCGCACCGTGGAGCCGCGGTAAATGACATTGTCGAGTGACAGCGGCAGTGTCTCTCCGTTGACAGTGACACGTCCGTCGTACCTGTAAAGGTCCAGATTCGGGTCCTCGGAAACGATGGTTGCCTGACAAGACTCGATGCCTTGCAGAGTTTGACACCTTTCAGCGAGAACAGGTGAGGCTCTCTTGGCCTTCAAATTCGTCTCGCCGTCCAAAGCCATAGTCTCGATGTATGCGGTACCGTTGGGCCCGGACGCGTACAGAAGAACGATATCCGCCGGAATGTCGTCGTCGCGTTGAAGCCTGACGACGTCGCCAACCTTGAGGTCCTGCCATTCAATCTCGGTCCATCCATCGGCCGAGTATTCCGCAACTTCGCCATCCTTGTGCCTCTTCATCCTCGCTGTCGCCTTCTTGGATCGTTCGCCCAAAACCCATGCGCGACTCAAGTTTTCCGTCTTTGCCAGCAGATACCGGCGGTAGTCGTCGTATCCTTCCTTAGCCATTGATAATGACACAAACACGGCGAGAGGTGCAATGGTAGTCCACTGGCCCGTAGTGCTGAGTCCGGGGATGGCCTGAATGATACCGACGACAAGGAAGTAGAAGTTGCCCATCTTACTGAACTGGAACAGGAGCTGTTTGGGCAGGAAGCTCCATATCGTGTATCGACTGGATCGGATAAAATTACTGGCGTACGACTTCTTAGTGCGTTCGTCGATGAGATGGTCACTCCGTTCCCTTGACATGTCGAGTGGGATATGCCTTCCATCTGCGCTCGGCGGGAGCGGCTTCTGTCGCAATAATCCCTGTACAATGTACACATTGTAGGCCTTCCTTAGCTGGTCGCTGACCGACTCCTGCGCAACGCGCCATTTTGTCCTTTTCGTTGGCTCTGGTCGGTAGACTGGATACTTGAGATCAGAGTCTGAAGGCTGCGCGGAGCTGTGGTCGCTGCCCCGTCGAGGCCGTGAGGACGAGGGCTCGTCCTGGATATGGCCCTCGAGATCACCCCTTGAGGGAATCGTGTAGAGCCCTGGCCTATTCGAGTTCGGGTGTGATGACGGCGGGTCAAAGCTGCGCCTGGAGTCTCGTTGAAGCTCGTCCGAGAAACGGACATGACCGCCGTCGAGGGCGCCTTTGCTCCCCATGGGTTCGGTGATGGCTCGTCTCGGGTGAAACCTTTGCGCTGCGCGTGGCGCGAGATTCACTGATGGCGAGGATATGTCATGAAGATCGTTGTCATTATGGTCAGAGGAGGTTGAGCTTGACGACGTTCTTGGGGCGGGGTCAGCGTCTTCATGTTGCTGTGAAGGGGCGTCGCCCAGATGCCGTCTGTCCATTCTTGAGGGGCGCGCGAGGCGAGGCTTGGTCGCTTTCTGTCTAGGCCGTACACTGAGCAGTGGCAGTCTCAGTCTAGCCCCCAGAAGCGCGGATCGAGAACCACAGTGATGGTTAGCTGGTCAAGGCTAGCTCGAGACTAGAAGGACGGCAAAAATGGGCTTGTTCCAGACGGATCCCTTAGAAAGCGGCCCGGATTCACCAGAGTGGCTCGGCCATGAAGCTCTTCATTGGGCTCGTCTTGGAGGTGGCGGCGCGTTCCTTTCTGGATCTGGCGTGGCTCTTTGGAGTCGTGGGATCTCCAAGTGCCGGACCAGCGCAGGTGGCCAAAAGCTGCACAGAAACGTATACAATGGTTTTGCAGGAAGAACTGAAAGCGTCTTAAGAAAGTGGTAGGATCTGCAATTGCCGCGACGTCACGGGCGGGTATAGTGCGCAAGTGAATGACAGAACAGTCGTCTTGAAGATTAACAATTCAGGAAAATGCTAATGGTGTTGATGTTGTTGAACAGTGGTGTTGAGTAATAATAGTAAGCAAGGCGAGCCAGCCTCGAATCGAGGACGAGAGACGTCGAGGTAAAAAATTGGCAGGCTGGGCGGTGCTGTATTCCCGTAAGAGGCGGACGCCGAAGGAAGCGCCGGCGGAAGGTCCCCGTAAATGGAACTAGGTCGATGCTCCCCCATTAATTGTACTCGTCAATCGTTGGCAGATTAGATACTCTGCACCTAAAGGGAAAGCAGATGAGGGCTCCTTGGCAGTTCCTTGCCTTCCTCTTGGTACTTGGTAGACACCTCACGAGTAGACACGAGTAGAGCCGAAAAGGTTGCAGCGTACAGAACTGCGCCGCCCTCAATACGCAAGTATGGACGACGACGAGGCGCTTGGCAAAAAGTCAAGATTATCAGGCCGCGGCTCACTGGTGAGTCGATGACTAGGTGGGTTGGTCTTGGACCTCTGGGGTATTGTGTGGAAATACCCAGGAACGAATATACGTCTGGAGCCCCCAATCAATGGAGAAAGGGCTACCTACCGGTACACTTTTGCAAGGCAAGCCTCAAGGTGGGAGGAACCTGTCTGAGTGTCTGATGCGGGCTTGGCGCCTCTTCTGCACTGCCACGGTCATCTTGTTGCCCGATGTTTCCTTACGAAGTACTCGTACGAATCAACGAAAAGCCCGCGGAACAGCTCCTCACCCACCACGCGCTCATCCGCGGTTCGCGGAGACGAGGAAAAGTTGGTTGGATCCATGAATCCGTGGGGCCATCGCGGTCGGCAGGTCGGGCGCGAGAAGTAGCAGCCAGTACTCCATACAGCACACGAGCGAATGAAGAACGACGAAATAGAGACTTTTTTCCATCAAGGGCCGGGGCGCGGAAGAGAAAGGTTCAGGTGGCCAGCCGCCAAAGAGCATCAGCGCCCCGGGCATGGAGAAAATGGGAAAGTCCCGGCTTCCGACTGGCAGGCCAGCAGCAGTGCAGCAGCCCATTCGATATTTTGCCGTGCCCCCGCATTGAGGACGTCATTGGGCAAGAGATGGGATGCACCTGAACTTCCCAGCTGGGAATCGCCAAAGTGCGAGCGAAGCAGGAGCCAACACCCACCCATTCCTTCCATTTCCTCCCTGAGGACACAGCAGTACGTACCAAGCTGTCCGCCCATCTCCAACCACAGAAGGACCCGCTCCGCCTACAACCTGCCTGCTTTCCGAACGGACGTCGGAAGCTGCGGACGATCTGAGGAAAAGGTTTCGATCGGTCATCCATTTCTATCCATCCATCCATCAAAGACAGCTTCAACAAGTCATTGACCATCTTGGCGACTGTCGCAGCTCCCATCACACACTTTCCTTGGTGTTTCCGCACGCATTGAAACATTGCGAATGCGAAAGCAACACCAACACTGCCCGACATTCATGACTTGGCAAATATTTTGTGCCTGTGTGGGTGTTGACGAAAGAAGACCATCCTTCAAGTGGCAGATGCAAGTCCGATTAATTACTCTGTAGCTTGTTCAACGATCACGCGGTTGACAGAAAGCATCAAAGTCGCTGACAGCATCCACACGCACCTGCGCTACTCTACTGTGCACCTACACTGCCCCGACTCGCATCATCTCACGTGAGTTCAACTAGCACACGAAAGAGAAAGTGCGAGACCGTCGTGGTCCTTCAGACGAACGTGGCCGATGGCTGGTAGCCTATAGACACTGCAGGGGGCTTCCTGGATATCGAAGAGACCTACCGCATACCACTACGGATACTTTGTATGGATACTGCTGCGAAGAAGGGGAAAATACACCCTACCCGATCTCTACAGTCTACAGTGCCTCACCACGAAAAGATTAGAGTTCCCCGTATCCGGCTGCATTCCCTACCCGCAAGGTGCCACAGACCCCCTCCGCTCCGGCGTCCAGGAAAGTAACGCCGTCTCATCTCATTTCCATCCGTTGATGCCTGCAGCAGTCCGGCATGGCACCTGGCTCCTGACCGTTCTTCGAAATATCGGGCAATATCCCATACCATACCGCCGGAAATTCCCGTCCAAACGTTCACACCACACCCAAAGCACAATCGTTTGAGTCCACAATGCCTTTGTATCGTTCCCGTCCGATCCGCCTTCTCAAAGCCGCGAATTTAACACGACTCAAGCGAAGAGAGAAAGGGATTGCATCTCGTGCTACGATTGAGCGATTGAACGGAACAGGCAGTCCATGATGGACAGATCTCGCCCGGCCTACCTTACTTTATTTAGGGTACACAGAGCGCCCCTCAAGCCTCCCAAAGAACCTCGTGTTAGCAGGCCGCCGCCTCGCTGACCAGATGCACTCCAAGCACCCACCTATCCATCCCCGCCTCTCTGGACCAGCCGGGCTCGCGCGCCAACGTCCTCCGCTGAACTAGGCTAAAAGAGATGGGCAAGCACACAAGCTAGGCAGTTGGGCTACCAAACATGAGCCGACCAGCCGACCAGCCGACCAGTCGAGACCTCACGCTACCTTTGGTCTTACACGTTGATCCTCCTTCTGCGCACACTCTTGTAAATACTGTATACCGTACAGTAAGACGCTGTATCTCTGCTCTTGGGGCAGAGCATAAGATCCGGCGAAACTCGACCTCACGTAACATGTCCAAGCCTGCCTTGCTGCGTAACAGAGCACGCGGCTGCGACAAGCCCCCCCCCCCCCCCATCCCCGGGCCTTCAAGGCAGATCGGATTCTCTTCAGCCTTACCCGCACAAACTCATAGGAGGCACATCAGATGGAATTCCATTACGTCCAAGCTCCATGGGCATAATCGGTGGGGCGTCGGACCTGAAATCGAAGACGGCTGCGTCGGTTCTGATTAAGCCTTACCTCTGGTAGCAGGGCCTGCGGGGTCTTGCAAGTTACATCGGTTCACCGTAACAGTCGTGGCCATGATACATCACCGGAGAGCATCATGGGGCTGATCATTTGGGAATCGTTGAAAGTCACATCACAATTAGGAGACCGAATGTTAAGGTGGGAAAACAGGGATTCAATGCCCATGTGTCTCTCAACTCTATCGTCAATGCTTACAAGCTGGCCGCTTCTCTTTCGAAAAGCAGCCAGCCAAGCCTCTTCGCTGCTCGGCCACCGGAGGCAGCTCCCCATTACCACCTCTTTCGGTGCCGGCATTCAACAACAAAAGCCACAAAGCCCTGCTCCCACGACCCATCAAACCAAGAAAATACCCAACAATATAGGTAAACAAGTAATGTGTGTCTTGAGAGAGTTGTATATCCTCAATAAAAAAGATGTGTTGTGTGTGACTGATTACGAACCAGGAAAATCCCAAGCCACCTGGGCTTTTCCCCATTTTCATCCTCCAAAACCCGCAGCCAGGACATCTGAGATTCATGAACAATGACAGATGAAATAAAAAATATCAACGACAGCGATGTGCAGCGCAAGCCAACCAAGAGAGAAGGGAAGGATATTAGGGGCCACGCCATCGTCTCCGCGAGGTAGGCGTGGCTAAAGGACTAGATTTGGTGATGGATTGTGGGCATGGTGAGATGCCCACACCCTCGTACCAGAAGCCGGTTTCTTTGTTCGCGACAATAAATGACTCGAAGGGTGAAGTAAATCCAAAAAGTGCAAAGGTACGATCGCCTGTGCCGGACATGCATGATCGAGATTCCGAATAGAGGTATCGTCATGCAGAGTCGTCGTGGCCGATGGATGATGTGGTAGCGAAAACGGAATCACACATCATAGTCATCGGTGTTGAAAGTAGACCAAGGGCAACCCCATCTGGTATATGTCGAGCGCCTAAAACGCCAGCTGTGAATGACCAAGGCAAGCAACTCCTCTCTCCCGAATAAACCATTTGAGAGAGCACGCCTTCCCAAGTTTGTATGTACGCCATGTCCTAGTGAAAGGAACTCCGGATGCTTCCCGACTTATTCAGTACGGCAGACCGATGTCAGGAATCAGTGGGGTGTTTGGTGCATGGACTCGGGAGACATTGAGTTGGGGTCAACGTGGTCAAACTGGACCAGTTGGTTCATGTCGAGGTCGTTGTGGCCTTGCTCACCATACGCAGGTGAGTGAGGGTGCATTGGCAGGTTAATGGTGTGCTTGGAGTACATCTCGTTCAGGCCGGTACCATCATCAGATACGGCACATGATCCGTTGTCGCCCTGCTGGTAGATATCGGCGGATGCAGATCTACCAAGCATGGAGAGCGGAGGCGACTGCTCAACAATAGACGGCTCTCCGTGGTGGCTGCCGAATGAGAGGGGAGACACGGAGGGCGGGATCATGCTCGGTGACGGGTGTGCCATGGGAGAGAGGAAGGCACTGCCGTAAGGCGTGTTGTAACTGGAAGCGGCAGGGAGAGGGCTCGGCTCAGGGCCCTGGGAGAAGAAGTTGGGGCTCGTCGGGAACTCGGAAGGGGAGGCGGTGGTGGCAGACATTGGGTACTGGCGCATATCCAGACCGAATCCGGCTTGGGTGTCGATTCTCAAGTTGGGGCCGAGTCCGCCGGGCGCCTGGGGAATCGGTGCGTAGATGTTGGGACCAGGCGTCTGAGGAGCTGCCATTTCACCCGGCTGTTGGATATAGAAGGAGGGCATGGGAGTTTGGAGCATCGAGAAATCGACAGCCATGGGCACGGAGCGACTGCGCTGTCTCTTGTGGCCAGGTCCGCGCATGCCAGGGTGCATGTGGTTGATGCCCCAAGACTCCTGGAACATACCAACGTGCGGCTGGGCAAAGTTGGGCTGAGAAGAAGGGCGGCTGGGCGACACAGGAGCGGACATGGACAGGGCGTGCTGCTGGTCGATGAAGGGGTGCGGGTTGTTGCGGTTCATGAAGGCCTCCAAGGAGACAAGCTTGGCCAACTGGCCGCTGAGAACCTTGGGGTTGCCACCGAGGTGGTGAACCAAGCAGTGCGAGGCCTGCTGGTCCTCGGTGAAGTCGCCGCACTGGAAGAACCCGCTGGCTTGAGGGGAGGAGTCCATGAAGAAGTTGGGAGCCCGGTTCAGCTCGATGACGATGCCACCAGGCTTGTTGGGGTCACCCTCCTGGTTCTCAAGGAAGATATTCTTGATGTAAGCAAAGGGGTACTCGATCTTGTAGCCGGCCTGCTCGTTGTTGATGTAGTAGGTCATGGTGCACTTGTCAGGGGAGTAGAAGATGATGAGATCCATCGTGTTCTGTCCCACGCGAGTCCACTTGCCGATGCTCAGAGAGCGGCAGGTGAGATGATGGATCACTGGGAATGTTAATGCTGCTTTCATCGATGGTTTGTCAGGGACTTCTTAGACTTACAAACTTTGCCCTGGCCGTTCTGGTCACCGCCGAGAAGCATGTTGTTGTGGCCGTAGGGGAGAAGACCTGTACGGCCAAGGAAGGGGCCGCCGAGGCCCTTGCCGGACTCCATCGCCTGCATAGCGAGGTAGGCTCGCATGGATTCGGGAATCGAATCGATGTCTTCGCCGGTCTCGAGGCTCTTCTTGGCCAAAAGCTTGATCTTGGCGCGTCTGTGTAGTATTAGTGGTGACTCAGGGGTATCAGGCTGCAAAGCCGGAAAACGAGGGGCAGTAGAAAGCGTACCTGTTCTGGAACCAGATCTGAACAGACCTTTCGGTCATGTTGATCTCTTCTGCTATCCGCTCACGAACGGTGGCAGTGGGGGTTGGGTTCTTGTTGAATTCCACCTCCAGAGTCGTCAACTGGTCCTGAGTGGCACGCTGTCTCTTCTGGTTCTTTTGCTGTTGGGTCAGGG